CTAAGGCAGTCGCCCAACCGACTGAGCCACCCAGGCGCCCCAAGATTTTATTTATTTATCTGGCAGAGAGACAGTGGGAGAGGGAACACAAGCAGGGAGAGTGGGAGAGGGAGAAGCAGACTCCCCACTGAGCAGGGAGCCCGATGCGGGACTCGATCCTGGGACTCCAGGATCATGACCTGAGCCGAAGGCAGTCGCCCAACCGACTGAGCCACCCAGGCGCCCTTAGGGAATAATGTCTGTTTAATACCGAGTGTGCTGACATCAAATTGTCTCCAGGCTGAGCCCCCAGGGGGAGGAAAGGATGCACGATGTCTTCAGATCGGGTCTTCAAAACTTGTTCTGGGCGACAGCACATCCGCAGAGCTGGACGCGGGGCCCTGGTCGTGTAGGAGCTGAGGAAGCCTGCTCAGGGCATTGCAATTCCCCTGTGGCCCCATTCATTCTCTGGGGTCCCCGCACCCCCCGACTGGCCCGCAGCCTTGTCGATGGGGACCGCCGCCTCCGTTCAGCCTCTCAGACCTGCCTGGCCTCTGGGTTTGGGAAGCAGGAGCTCCATGTTCTGGGGGGCAGGGATGGTCCCAGGGACTCTTAAACTGTCCCCCCTTTCTGCTCCATCCAGGTGGGGCCCAGGTACCAGTGCAGGTGGATCTGACTCTGAGCCGGCCCCTCCAGCCCCTGTGGTCATTCCTGGTCTGGGTGGTCTCCCAGTCTGGCTGGGAGTCGAGGAGGGCTGCCTGGGGGAGATGACATGACGACCGGCCTTAGAAGGGCTGTTGAGGCTCCCCTGATGATGAGGGGTGGGCATTCCCCCAGACCTGGCCAGTGCTGAGTCTTGGACTCACCCTTGGGCAGGGGCGGCCAGGGCATCAGGAGCTCAACGGGTTTCTCTTTTTAAACATTTTTTTAAAATTATGGTAAAATATACATAACATAGAATGTTTCATTCGAACCATTTTCAAGTGGATGAGCACATTCACACTGTCTGTCCCCAGGACTCTCATCTTTGTTGATGGAAACGCTAACTGCCCATCTGTCTCCCAGCAGCGGTGCGGAGGGGCCGGGGCTGGGGGCTGGGGTCTGGCCCTCCGCTGCCACGGGCGGGTTGAGGCGGGCGGGCACCTGTGATCTTGGTGGTGGCTGAGCCCACTGGTCTCTGCTCCCCTGCCCCCGGTCCCCGGACGGCCAGTACTACGGATGTGTTCATTTCAAGCTCCATTACAAGCATATTAAAAGTGAATCCATAGTGGCCTTGTCCCTTGGAGAGGCACGAGCTGGGCCCAGGAGTCAGGCTCAGTAAACACAGTGACATCACGGCCCGAGGCCATGGCTCACCCTCCGCCTTCCACACCCGCACCCAGCATCCATGCCAGTTCCATCTCCCGATCGCTCCCAGCGCCCCCTCCCCACACGCTGGGCTGTGGGCACAGCCAGGGAGGCCCCGAGGGAGGGGCGCTGGCTGGAAACAGGGGGCCGGGGACGGCAGGGGCGGCCCTGCAGGGTCAGGAAGCCCCGGCCCCCAGGCGAAGTCCACTCAGACCCTCCAGCAAAGGGGGCCTACCCCCCACGACCCCCACCAGCTCCCCACAGCTTTCCGGGCTCCAGAGAGGGTCCTGGGGGAGGGGTGGGGGGCGGCCATAGGGGAGGGACCGTCTCCCAAGGTCTGGGGCAAGATCTTCTCAGCTGACCTGGGGCAACAGCTGCTAAGTGGGGGACACCCCAGCATGCAACCTCAGAGCTCTTCCCAAAATGAAATCCACCGGGATGCCAGGCGGGAAAGGGGGTCCCCAAGACCTTCCATGGGCAAAGGGGAGCAGACATCGTGCACCTGCAGCTAACGGCCCTGCCCACTCTCCCCCCAGCACTCCTCTCTCTGGGCGGATTGGGGGGCTGCAGAGAGAGTTGGGGCATCCTGCAGGTCAGACTGCCCCCAGCAAGACAGGGGCTGGGTAAGCTGGCCTGGCCCAAGTGCTTAGGGTGCCTGCTGGGGGTCTGTGAGCCCTTTGAAGGACACACCCCAACCTCCACCTCCGTGTCCCCATCTAACCTTGGGCCAGAGTCCGAGGGAAGGGTTGGCAGCCGACGCGGGCCTCCAGTGAGAAGGGGGCCGCAGTCAGGAGCTCAGACCCGGCCGGAGTCTGTGGCTGGAGGTTGGGGCTGGGAAGCCACGGTCCAGGCAGACGGGCCTGGGAGCAGCCAGGACGTCAGACGGGCCCCAGGGAGAGGAGGAGGAGCTCTCCGTGCAGTCCACGGAGGGCCGGGGCCAGGGGCCGGAGGCCGGCTACCCAGCACCCGGCCGGAGCCAGTGATTGAGGCTGAGCTCGCCCAGGCGGCTCGGGGCGAGGGGTGGGCGTGCGTGCGGCCCTGGCATGCTTCCCCGGAGCAGACTCGCCCACAGGTGCTCCTTCCAGCCTCAGGAGCGACGACCCACAACTTCACCTCAGGCCCTCCCCTCTGCACGCCGAGCTTGTCACCCCTGCTATGATCAGCAGGTGACAGTTGACGGGGCATTCGCTGTGTGACTGGCAGTGGCCTCGGAATAACCCCGCAAGGTGCCTACTATTGACCCCCGTTTTATAGATAAAAAGGCCAAGCTCAAGAGCCCCTCAAAGGCCATGTGTGTGGAGGGGGCAGCTTTGAATTCAGGCCCGTTTGACTCAGAGCCTGATGTTGGCCTGGAGGACACGGCTTGCACCCCTGACCTAAGAACCCTTGGCCGCCAAACGCCGAATGGCCAGCTGAAGGAGGGCGGGGGAGGTGGCGGCTGGAGATGCCGAGGGCAGGTGGGGTCCGCGGAGGGACACTGTCCTCGCTGTGCTCTGCTGCACGTGCGGGGCTTGTCCAGAGGAGCAGAGGAGGATGCAACGGGCAGCTCACCTGGGCTCAGCTCGGCAGACACTGACGGACTCCTGCTTGGCTCTGGGCCTTGGGCCCTGGGATCTGAGGACCCAGAGGACCCGCAGGCCTGCCCCTGAGGCTCAAGCAGAGCAGTGGGCGCTCACAGCCCAGTGAGGTGAGAGAAGCTCGGAGCTCTGTGTATGGGCTCCCGGTGAGGCGTCCATGCTGACCTGGGGGCTGCAGAAGCCTCCCTGGGGCTGGAGTTCGGGGCAGGCATGGAGGCTGGGCCAAAAGATGGAGCCAAGCCACCCAGATGAGGCAGCTCCCTCACTCCTGGGTGAATTCCTAAATGAACTGAAAGCAAGCACTCATGAGATATTCCTGCGCCCACATTCATCGCGGCATGATTCACAAGAGCCAAACGTAGAAACAACCCGAGTGTCCATCGATGTGGGGGGGATAAGCAACATGTGGGCCATTCACACAAGGGGATATGGTGCAGCCTTAACAAGAGAGGGACCTCTGACTCCGCCCAGCACTATGGGCCTTGAGGACACTGTGCTCAGGGAGACAAGCCAGCCGCAAAGGGACAAGGACTGTATGACTCCATGTCTATGGGGTCTCAGAGGAGCCAGATTCACGGACACAGAGAGTGGACGGGGGCGCCTGGGGCGGCGGCGGGGTGGGGAGTGGGTGCTTCATGGGGACAGAGTTCAGTGTGAGGGCATGAAAAAGTCCAAAGATGGATGGGGGTGATGGTGCACAGTGGGGTGACCGTGCTTAATGTCACTGAGCTGGACACCCAAAAACCGTTAAGGTGGGAAATGTTATGTTATGTGTTATTTTATCAGAAGAAGACCCAAGTGACCCACACTCATCCTGGGACTGTTGAGGGTGAAATGAATGAAGGAAGGATGAATGAATGAATGAATGGAAAGCAAGCACAGTAGACTTTTAGGGGTCCTGAGAACTGGCCTCACACTCCCAAGTACATACAAGTCCTGTGAGAGGCGGGATCCAGACCAGGGCCAGCCTGTGGTGCTTCTAGACCCCGGAGCTCTCCATCTGCGGGCCGGGCCGGAGGGGCTCCTGGGCTCCTGCACCACCAAGTTGCCTCCAGAAGCCAGGTTGCTCCACGTAGGGATGCTCGCCTGGGCCAGGGGCTTGGCTCAGGTCGCCTTGGGACCCCTTTCGGCTCTGGCACATTCCGCGATGCCACAGAGCTCCCTCATCTGTTGGAGAAACTAGAGAGGCTGTGGACAGACGGCAGGTCCAGGAGCCTGGGGGTCAGCCCGCTAAGCGCCGGGCCCCGGTGCAGCGTGGAGGGGAGGGACAAGGCCAAGGCTTCCAGCATCTTCTGTGTGCCTCCGCCTTCCCCCCTCGGGCATCCATTCGTCCTCCACCAAGTCCCTCTGCCGGGACGGGGCAGCAGGCCTGCCAGCAAGCGCCAGAGGCAAGATCACGGCAGGACGGCATCCGGTGAAACCAAAGGGAGAAAAAAATCAATTTTCCAATACTCCCTCTTGAAGTGATCTCTTTAAGCTGATTCAAAAATAATAATGTCTGACACTCAGAGGGGGCAACTCGCAATTTCCTAAGTGTGGCTACGTTATCGCTTTCGGGCCTCAGGACAATCTTGCGGGGAGGTAGCCTTACTCGGCAGAGGGAAAAACAGGAGCAGGGAGAGGTTAAGGAGCTCATCAGGCCGCAGAGCATCTGGCAGGACTTGGGAGGAGCAGAGCACCCGCCAGGGAGTGCGCATGTCCCTGCTCCCGCCCACGTGGCCTGCCCCAGCCCCCAGCGCCAGGCCAGCCTCTGGCCACCCGCCCTCGTCCCTGGTGCTGGGGACAGACAGGCCCGGGGGTCCTGCACCGGCAGCCACAGCCTCTGCCCGTCCCCTGGGTCACTCCTGCGTGAGACCCCGAATGAAGCCCAGCTGACCGGGGGGAACGTAGCCGTGCCGTGGTTAGGGTTCTCCAGAGAAACAGGACTGCCTCACACTCACGCACACGTGCATGCGCACACACACACTCATGCACACACACACCACACCGTGCACACACTCGTGCATGCACACACAGTCTCACGCATACACACTCACTGTACTACACACACATGCATGCACACACTCTGAAAAATATTTATTTGAAGGAATCGGCTTGTGAGATTCTGGAGTCTGCAGGGGGACAGGTTGGGGCAGGAGCGGCAGGTTGAGGGGGACCCGGGGAAGAGCCGAGGTTGCAGTCTGGTCTGAAGGCCATCTGTTGGCAGAGTTCCCCCTTTCTTGGGAAGGCCACTTTCTTTCTCTTCTGTCTTCACCTGATGAGATGGAGCCCACCCACCTTAGGAAGGCCAGTTTGCTGTGTGGAAATCCACTGATTTCAATGTTAATTCCATCCAAAAAAAAAACACGTCATAGGAGCATCCAAAATAAGATTTGACCAAACATCTGGGCACCATGGCCCAGCCAGGCTGACCCATAAAATTAACCGTAACACCCTCACCCGGCCCGGGCTGCTGTCTCCCTGCCCCGCTCCTGGCTTTCTGCCCCGAGGTCCAGGCTGTTGGCACTTTGATCCCCCGATATGCCCTGGAACGATGTCAGGGCAGCAAGGTGGTGTCCCTTGGGGTCAACTCCTGTGGGCCTATGGGGTGCCTGCCTGTGTGCCGGGGACCCCCACGCCCTGGTGGGCGGGGCAGGGTGGAGGCTTGTGCGCCCGCCGCTCACCATCTGTGGACTGGGAGCTGGGGGCCCCCGGGCACACGGGCCGTGCACGGTTTCGAGCCCCTGCTCCCCACTGAGCTGCCTGCACCCCTCCAGCGACTCCTCCCCAGACCACGGCCCTCCATTCCCACTCTCCTCTTCGACACACCCCTCGCTGGCCCTCAAGGAGCCCCTCTGCTCGGCCTCGCCCCGCTTCAGCCCTGCAAGGCTGCCGGCAAGGAGCTGGCGGCCCCGCCTTCCGGGTCAGCTCTCAGGTGACTGGCTGCAGGTGGCAGATGCCCAGTCTCATTTTGTCTCGCTGCCACAGGCTGGGCATGAATCCTCTTTGTCCTGCCTGATTGGTGGTGGAAACCCACTTGGATCATCAATAATCTCTGATTAGGGCTGGATCCAGACTCCTGGCAGAGAGTGGGCCAGTCTCCAGCCCTGGACCCTTTCCCTTGCCAGTGCCCGGTTGGGCAGGACGAGGCCTGTCCAGGTTGCTCACGGACTGGCTCAACATTGGCCTCCCCTGGTGCTCACGAGGCAGGAGGGGCACGGGCCTGGCCAGGCCCTCCCACGACCACCTCCCCGGGCCACCAGCGGCCCGCCCCCCACTGCCCGGGCCACCTGCTCTGCTCCCCTTCCAAGGGCGGCATGCCTACCGTGCGCCCCAGCACGTGCTTCAGGGCAAGCTGGCTGCTCAGCTGTGTAGACCAGGAGCACCCGCAATATGGAATCTGCCAGAATACGGGCTCCACAGGCCTTGGCGAAGGGAGTAGGAGGTGGTGCTAATGGAGGCCAGATCAGTCTCTGGCTTCCGGCGGTCCCGTTCTCTGGCCCCGTCTGCTCCTGCCGATTAGTCAATGAACTACAACCCGCGGAGTGCTGGATGCCGCGGGCTGTGGGCCCCGGGGGCGGACGTACCTGGAGAGAGGACAGATCCCAGTCAGCCTGGAGGGCATCACATCTGCTCCAAGTAAGCAGACCATTTGGAGACACACGCATGTGATTCCCACGCCAAGCCTCGCGTTAGCAGTCCCGGGGGCGAGGTGTGGACCTCTGCTGCCAAGTTGGGGTGACCTGGGGAAGCTCGCTTTCTCCGGCCAGGCTCCAGGGCAGTGGTGTGGACCCAGCAGAGGGGAGCAAGTTCTGCAGTTAGGACGGGCCTGGTCTCTGCGAGGAGCAGGATGGAGACGGGAGAGAGCGAGCCCCGGAGGTGTGTGGAGCGAGTGGTGAACAGGGCAGACCAGGGGCTCTGGAGTCACAACAGCCGAGAGGTAGAAGGAGCCCGCGCGTCCCCCCCACAGATGAAAGGATAGACAAAACGAGGTCCATCCAGACAAGCCTTAGAGAGGAGGGGATTCTGTGAGGGCACGTGCCAAGTGAAATAAGCCAGGTACAGAGGGACAAATACCGGGCGATTCCATTGACAGGAAGCAGGCCGAGCCGTCAGACCCGTGGAGACTGAGCGCGGATCATGTCCACCAGGCTGGGGGTGGGGGCGAGCGTCTAACGGGGACAGGGTCTCAGCGCGGGAAGATGAAAAGGTGGTGGACTCAGATCGCGGTGCTGGTCCCACAGCAGGCTGAGGGTTCTTAGTACCCCAGAACGGCACGTGTAAAAAGGTCAAAAGGTAAGTTTTTATATTTTACCACAATAAAAACAAAAGCAATGATACCGACAAAATGCACCCGGGACGCCAGCCCCATGTTCAGCCGCGATGGACGTGGCTACTTCCTCCGGCCACTTGATTCAGCAGAGCTGGCTTCTGAAGAGGAAGGGAGAGCGTTATTCATCCGTCACCTACAGAGAGCGAGGGCGACCAGAGAGACCTCACGACAAAGCTGGGAAGACCAGAGGACGCGGTGAATTATCGGTCCCCGGAGAGAGCGCACTGGGCCCTCTGAAGGTCCCCGTGTCAGGCCCGGCCCTGGCGCATGGACATAAATAACCCGCCTTTAATGATGCCAGAAAACAATGCTAACGTGCTGTCAGATGGGCCATCGGGGGTGGCCAGATGGCGGCTGGAATCCACACACACTTCATTCTTCCATCTGCTCCCATGTATAGCACCCGCTCTGAGGGAGGCCGGGAAGGTGGGTTTTCCTCCAGATTTTGTCATTAGCTTCACATCGTGTTGTTTAGTTGGCTTCATGGGCCATTAGCAGGCACCAGGCTGTGGCTCTTGGGCGGGGAACGGTGGAGGGGTGCAGGGCAAGGGCACCCAGGCGGCTCCTCGGGCCCAGCTGCCTCTTCTCTGTACCCCATGGGCCCAGACGCCTGGGACGCCCCGTCACTGTGCACCTGCTTGGAGAGGCTTGTCTGCCTTGTGTTGCTTGCTCTCCTCTCCCCGGGACCGACCACCCTTGTCTGGAGTCAGAGAGAGCATCTTCACCCTCCCTTCCTTCCTTCCTTCCCTCTCTCCTTCCCTCCCTCCCTCCTTCCTTCCTTCCTTCCCTCTTTACTTCTTTCCTTCCCTCTTTCCTTTTTTCTTTCCTTCCTTCCTTCCCTCCTTCCTTCCTTCC